AAGAGTCCATTTTTCCTTTTGAGTGTTATAACTCACCACAAATTGACCGTATTTTGCAGGAAGAGAGATAATAACTAAGTACATGAGCAACTCAGATGGCAGCTCTAACTTTAATGTCTTTAGTTTTCCAGCAAGATTAGACATTTCCATAATGTACCCCCTTATGTTTCCCTTTCCTTTATACCTCATGTTTATGAGTTTGGACAAGGTTTGACCAATTTCAGCTTTTTCATTTCGAGCAAAGTATTGCTTGAGTTCCTTCGGAAACAACTTGGCATCAATAGTCTCAACAATCGAGCCTCTAAATGCCTCCGGAACGGAACGTTTCATGATCATCAGACACATGCGATTTGAGCGTTCCCACTTCTCAATTTTATCCGTGTTTGGATTTTCCTGAGTGGAAGTGGGTTTTCTCAGTCCTTAACGCATTGTCGAGATCCATGCAGCCGAGAACAATTTTCACATTCTCTTTCCACAGCTTGAAATTTGCCCCATTAAGCATTGGAAGCATATTCATTTGAGCAACATAATTGGCAGCGGTAACAGAAACTATACAGAGAACAAAAAGATAACATACAAATAATCCGAAGTAAAATGAGTTTATTATAAGATACCTAGCACAACATTAATATTTAGTCTGTGGACAAAAATATCAACTTGTAAGTGGTACTCTTAATGTAGTAATCAAACATTGACAATAAGTCCTGTCAAATCATAGCCTTCCTGTGGGCCGACTATGAATTACATGGAGAATTCTTGATAATTGTCACATATTTATTACCACAGGTATGTTTGTTACTTGGCCAAATAATAACCTTCCTGTGGGCCGATCACTATCCGCATAAGTAATAAACACACACATGATCACACAACATATATTATTTGGCCAAACAATAAACTTCCCGTGGGCCGATTATTATTTGCATAAATAAAATATATTTATATGACCAACCTATTTGAAATCAAATTAACCTTTATAAATTTGGCCACTGTGGCAGCTAACAAATCTATCATATTTAATTTCAAATAGAAGCTTTTAGGGATAATAAACTCATTTAAAAACAAAATAACAACAATAAAAAAAATTATTCTTTATCAATCCTCAATGTATATACATACATACTATATCATTATACCATTAACAATAAAAATCTTTAACTGCCAAAAAATTCAAAGCGAAGATATTTTCTACCATAAAATAAGCAACCGTTTTCGATTGTCTCTAATAATACCGTAAGCACAAAGTTTCAATAATAGATAAAATGGACTTTAATATCAGCAGAGACAAAATATGAAAACAACAAGAAAACATCTTGATTCAAAATCATATCAAATAATTATACAATAATCAATCCAAAAGCATCTGATATATATCATGCCTTTATTCAATTGAAAATCAAACATCACGTAAATTGAGACGGTAATCATAAAGTATATTTCAATTCATTCTAAAATTTTAGAGATAACACACAGTAACGGTGCAAATCAATTGTATATAATATATAATATACGATGATCATATTGTGTTTCCAAAAATCAAGGTAAATGTGATGTAGAATTATCCAAAAGAAATTGATACTGATCGAAACGAAACAGAGACGATTAATTCAATAACACAAATTTTTAGAAACAATAAATCGTCTTAACATCAGAATAAATTGTGAGTCTTATAATTATAAAACTTAATTCCCTCATGATTAAATATGATTAAGGCTCTGATACCAATTGTTGGAATTTTTAATTCCTCTAAACTTTATGGTGATAACTATCACCTACAAGCCAAGATCCATCATACCAAATCATAAAGAAAAATAAGAACAACATAAAGGTGGAGGAATACCTGTCTCTATTGCAGCGGAATAACTTTGATCTTGTCTCTTGAGGTTTGTAGTCTTCCTCAGTCAAATCACCCTAAAATCGAATTCCTTAGTGTGCCGTCTCTCTCTTGATGGAGAAGAGAAACTAGGGTTGTTGTTTGACGTATTGGGGACCATAACCCTTTATAGTGTTTTTATCTTTATTGTTGGGCCAATAAGCTCCCATTATACCTAGTTGGCCCAACACCGGTATCCACTCATTCATCCCATACTCACTTAGGAATCTATTTGAAAATATTTAACTGATCCCTTTAATTTACCCAATATATATAAATAGCACAATATAATTATTAATATAATATGTGACCCACAATAATTATTAGAAAATTATAATTTCCTAACAGAAATGATTAATATAAAAATATAAAAAATAAATAAATTTAATGTATACGGGCCAGCCTCTAAGGCTTCAAGGCCGGGCTTGACTATGGAAGCCTGAGGTCTTTTAAATAAAAAGACTTTTGCATGAGTCTGGGTTTAATAATAAAAAAAGACGAGCCGAGCCGAGCCAAAACGGGCCGGGCCTAAGGCCCCTGATAGGCAACTGGCCTTATTATCACCCCTATGCATGAGTGTGTGAAATATTTGCAGTTTTGCATGTTTGCGAGATATTTTTTTAATTTTGTATTAATTACTTCATTTGAATATGGTTTTGTATAGACACGTATGAATAATTTCAGCTTCATTTGGATATTTTATGAATGCTGATAATAGAATATATTTAAGTGGTTAGATGACGATAGTAAACATGTAAAAAAAAAAAATTAAAAACATTTCCGCAGTTGTTACAAATTTTTTTTATCTGTCACATATTATATACTCCAATAAATATAAAGTATAATTTTTGAAATGAACTTTATTTTTGAAATGAACTCCCTAAAATACATGTGTGTGGCAAACAATTTTTCTAGTAACTAGAGAAAAGTTAAACCAAAAAAAAAATATCTAGTATTTTTTATATCCAATATATTTTTTCTTTATCTCTTTATCTTGAGCTTTTTGGTCCTTGAATCCACTAGTTCTTTCTATTTTTAAATTTTCTTCTGGTGCACATAGCAGAACCCTACTCAAGGAAATATTTTCTTCTTTACACTCCTCCAGTTAAGTATTTTTGGAAATTTAGAGCTTACTCAAAATTGAAGACTTACTTATATTTGGAAAACGTTACTCAATATATTTTAAACAAATGTTTTCTCCTAATGTTTCTAGCGCTCAGAGACAAGCTTTGCATATTTGAAATTGTATTTTTGCTATTATTTATGAGATGACAGAAATAAATACTTTCATATTAAAATTTTACATTATTTGGTCATATAAATTTTTTTGTATCTCTCTCTTTTTATTATTAATAATTTTATTTTTTTGGTGTAGGTATTATTAATAATTTAACTTTACCTATTTAATAGGTATGAAGAGAAATAGACATAAAAATTTCATATAATCACATCATATAAAATTTATATGAGAGAAGATCTATCCTTTTTATCCGGCTTCATAGGAACATTTATGAGATGGTTGGAGGCTCATTTTACGTGCAGTAATGATACATGTAATTTATCATCCCTGCCCCGTGTAAGTCATTAAGATAACAAACTTCTTTTGATCGGTGCAAACGAGTATCCTTGGAGTTTGTGAAGATAAAGTTTGTAGAAGGAGTGCTTGCTCTCCTACATATATAGTGCTTTCCTTTCTGTTTCTTTTGCTCTTCTCTTGGCTGTTTCAAGAGGATTTCTTCACCTTCACGTATTTCTTTTGTTCTATTATGAAACTGTATAATACCCAAATATATAAGAAAGATTGAACATTTCACTATTGATTAAGGCAGTGGTAACGGGTGATCAGCGAGGGACCCAAAAAATTATACGAGAGAAAGGCGAAAATTTATATTACTATTATAAAAAGGCGACATCAGTTTTTGGTTAAATAATCACGCTAAGAATACAAAAATACTTATTAAGAAGAACCTAATATAATTATAGATTTTTTTGCCAATTTTTTTTGTTAGATCAATTTTTTGTTTCCGGCGACAATGGTCCAATACATTCTCTATTTCAATGAAGAACTAGTCTTAAGACCTTATATTGTGTTTGTAAGATCAATTTTTTATTGTTTACCTTCATTCGTTCTGGTGTTATAATTGCACTTTTTTTTATTTCTTTAAAATCTTATTTTCTTCCTTAATTGTTATTAGCAGAAGATATAGTAAATTAATTAATGTGTTATTTATTTTTAGCATTTGGTCTCAACTAATAATTGATAACTATTATTGATCGTTCTTTTTTTCAACAAAGTCAAAACTTAAATACTCTTCTCTTGAGTTCTGACATGACAATCTATATAAATTTTTAATGATTATAAAAAGAAAATTAGATAATCAATCAATATAAAATCAAATTCTATACAAATTTGACAGGTAGAGTGAATATGCCTCACTAGCTGAACTCTTCTTTGTATACAACGGAAAAGCCAACTTTCCACATTGATTGGGAGGGAAGCAGACCAAGAACAAAACCTGCCATATATGATGGCAGGTTGAATCTGGTAAATAATAGTTATCTCTAATTAGATGCAATGAACGAGTGGAATATTTTTCTTATGAATAGTATCGCTTGTCTTTAGCTTTTTTAAAGCACTTTCAAAATTTTACTTTTTTAGACTATATTACATATCATATAATATAACATATTTTTATATTTTAGAAAGAGGCGGGGCCCACCCTTGCCCCATGTAAGTCCGCCGCTGTGGGTGATACTGCTATTACGATCCAGTTTGTGCATTAGAAATAGAATACTAGCTTTAACATGTCCACAATATTACTAATATATGGTCTCTCTCTATCTATATTTATATATATATATATATATATATATATATATATATATATAATTAGTAGTATTACTAATTGCATATTAAACAATATCAGTGTTCGTTAGTTTCTTGTTTTAATTTTTGTTTTCTTGTTCTGGGGCTATGCCCCTTATATGTAAAAAAAAAAAACAATATCAGTGTTCTCGATGAGCCAAGGTTGTAGCTGCGAAGTAAGTCCCACATCAGACAATAGAAGGAAGCTCCAGCTATCATTGCATTATATGAAGAAACACTTGCAAACAGTGATAAACACGGAGCCGTGCGGTGAGTACATAGCGAACTATTCTTTCGCCTTTTACTAAAGAATACCGTGTGCTCGTCGCTAAAAGCGGCATACGCTAATTTTTGTGAAGGGACTTTCCTTGTGGGAAGTTCCTATCTAATCCTAGTCTTATTAAAGTTTCTAATGCTTTTTAGGCCACTCTTTATAATGAATGAGGTTCTAGAACTAGATTACAATTATAACTTTTTAGGGATCTGTCAGCATAAATTTGGCATCCTCGGTAGAGGGTGATGAAAAAAATAAAAATCCTTTTTATGATAAATCATTGAATTAAATTGGCATCTAATTAAATAGAGATAGAGAGCAAGGACAAGAGCTGCAGATTTAGCTGGCTAAGTCTACAATACCCATCCATCCTCTTTACAGGGTAAAAAATGTATGAAGTTCAACTTTACAGGGTAAAAAGTCTTTCTGGCAAGCCACAATTCGCAATGAAGGGCTTTCTTCACAATCAGTCAAAAATAAAATAAGCATGAAACCCAAGAATTAGCTAGATTCAATTTGCTTACTTCAACGAAGATTAAAAAACAGTTCAGACTAGTACATGACGAATATATATATATATATATATAACAAAAATATTTCTAAAGCAGCTTTAGATATATTTATTTATGTCATCCCAAAATTACGTTATTTTATTTTTTTATATTAATTGATTTATTTTTGAATTGTTAATATTCTCTCTTCCTTTATCACTATTGATCTATTTTTATACTGTTATAATTTAGTAGCTGGAGATAAAATTATCTCAATCAGCTTGAGAAATGATAAGTCCTATATATATATATATATATATATATATTACTCTCCTCTTGCATAAGATATCTTCTCTCATGTTCTTTCATTTAAATTTTCGTACCCACATTTTTTTTTTTTTCTTGTAATAGTGAGACCTACCTATTTTCTCTCTATAAGATAGTTATCTTACGTTACTAATAAAATCCACACACACAGACAGGATATATATATATATATATATATATATATATATATATATATATATATATGCTTGTGACATTGATGCAGACTACGGCAACAGGTAGGCAATTTGTTATATGCTATTTTTTTTTGTAAATATTAGGATATTAAACTCTTTATAAACAACATAATTACAAGTTCATGAAATTTGCAACCTTTTTTTCCAAGGAAAAAGAAAAGGACAGAGGAAAAATAACAAAATGAAAGCAGGTACTATTCTATTGAAAGAAAAACTTTGAACAACAACACTAGCAGCTGCAAAGTTGAAGGGCTTCTTCGAACCTCTTATCTAGGACAGAAGGATCAACCACGCAGCGTGCCTGAGTCTGAAAGTGATTGTTCTCTGATTCTTCTTTGTGAATAGGATTGTATTTGGCAACCCATTTCAGTGCAGATCCTTTAAGCACAGAATAAGTTGTGGCAGATGGTGATGAGGGTGGCATAGTAAGTGATGGGGCATGTGTTTTACCATTGTGAGAGAGCAAGAGCATTGCTGCTGTAGGTGCCATTTAGAAGCCAAAGTGATGTGAGAACAAGCAACATGGTGAACAATGAAGTTTGTGTTACTTCTTATATGTATAGAGAGATAAGAGAGAGAGGATAATGTTTGATGAAAAGCTTAAAACAGTCTGTGGGCAAAGGAAATCCGAGGGGTTTAAAACCATGGAAAATGAAAACTGTTGACCAGTTTTGTCTCTTATCAATGAATTGTATAAATTTTTTAAATTGGAACTTTTATAGGTTCATTAATCTGATGTCATAATAGTTACACATGTCAAGAAATATTCACAATAAATAAATTTCGTTTTTCACGTATACAGCACAAGAGTGAAATTAAAAAAAGGAAAAAAAATAGTAGAACCAATCTGCTTGTCTTTTTAATCCTTAGGGACAGTAATCACCCTTCCTAAATTCAAAATATTTAATCACATGATCCATTGGAATCATTAATGGGTTGTTATTTGTAAATTTTGTACTTTGAGAACTATATACTTGATTATACATGAAGCGCAAATAACGTACCTTTACAGCCAACAATATGTGATGCCTTGTTATACTTCTCAAGCCATGGAAGGACTAAATTTTGGTTGGAGACAATGATGACATTTCGATGAACATGATTCAACACTTCTTCTCAAGCCCCAAAAGCTCACCAAGTGGAAATAAATATAGTAAATTTAATTTGTGCTAATGCCTCTTATGTATCAAAAACAAATTGAAATTGATTCTTTCAAAATCAAATCTGTCAATATTTTCGAGCACAACTCAATTTCTTTTCAAGCAATCTAAGGCGCACAATTTCTTTGAAAGGGAGTTCAAAAATTTGGCTCACTCTGTCCCGTTTGATGAGCGGGGTAAGTTAGCTCTGAAGATCAATCATATTTTGTATTAAAAAAAAAATAGGTTAGACGAGTTGACGGATTAGACAAGACATGTTAACAAATTTTAAAACTCGACTCACCGAATTGAACCATTTTGCCGACTCTACCAAGAAAATTTCTTTTCTTTAAATAACATGTAATGTTTAAGAAAAACTAAAGAACTGTATTGTAATATTAATCCTTACTGTTTGGTAGATTTGATTAAGAATAATAATAAATAAATAAAAGAACTATGTTTGCTAACCTTAAATAAGTTTAATATTTTTTATGTAGTAAAAAATAAAATTATTTTATATATACATAGAGTATACGAGATTCATATGAGATCATATAAAAAGAAGAGAGAAAAAAAATATACCTCATATATTTATATGGAATCTATCTATCTCATACTTTTTCAAAATAAATAAATAAATAATGGACTCTACTACTTTATCTCTGTTGCATGAGATAATTATCTCAGACAACATGAGATAATTATTTCCCTATATATATATATATATATATATATATAGGGAATGATCAAGTTTACAAATTTTTTTTACAAATTTTTGCAAATTACACAATGTACTCTCGGAAAAACATATTGTAACCTATTGTTCTCCCGTGGAGTACATAATGTAGTTTGTAAGAGTTTATAAACAAAAAATTTATAAATATAACCCTCCCATATATATATATACATATAAATGTTTATTTTATTTTCTCCAACATAATAAATATTAAACTCATGTTAAATTGCCCCTAAATTATAAAGTGATATGAACAGCGCGTGAAACCGTGAGCTTATGATTACATAATTCAACCGGGTCTGGAGCTGCGCCGTTGATTTACCTTATAACCTGTTGGTTTGGATTCTACTAATCGTCAAACATAATATTTCTTGCAAATACCGTACCCAGGTGTTGTTATTTTTCATGTACATCTTCCAAAATCATAAAACAATATTTAAATAAATTTGCACCTGTGCTGGCAACGCACTATGAATTTATTATTAAAAATAAAATAATAGTAATTGGTAATAGTTTATATAAGAATAAAGTTATACTTATAACCTATTTTTTTTACAATCTTTTACAATCATAATCTTAACCGTTGATTTCCACCAATCAACGGTTATTATTTTCGTAAATTAAATTTATTAATTAATTATTAATTAACAATAAATAATAATCGTTGATTGACGGAAATCAACGGTTAAAATTATAATTGTAAAAAGTTGTAAACAAAAATAGGTTATAAATATAACCTTCCTCAATACTTTATTTGAACTAAAACAGTAAGAAATACAGCACAACCTAATTCAATTACTAAACATTAATTAACATCTAACTGTAATCATAGTTATATGACAAATAAATAGTCGTGTGCATAAAAATATTATTTATCATTTCAACTAAAAATAGAAGGATTAAAATCATTTAAAAAACTCATAGGAAATAAGATTAGTCACAAAATCATATAATTTATTTTAAGTCTTGTCAGCCCAAATAAAATTATGCAGACACTAAAGCAAATTTTAAAATGGTAATTAACATGAAAGTATATCAAACTTCAAAACCACTTACTTCTGATCTTTAATATATCATTAAGCCATCAAATATGTTAAAAATATCTTTAAACACAATTGAAGGAATTCCATTTGCAAAAGATGGAAATTGATTAAATTTGATACCTGTAAATGCACCAGTAAATTCACAATCTCAATTATATTGTACAATACATAACGGGGAAGGTTATATTTACAAACTTTTTATTTACAAACTCTTATAAACTACATTAAGTATAACCGGTCATACTTAGTGTAATTTGTAAAAAAAAAATTGTGAACGGATCATTTCTCATACATAATAATTCTATTTATATTTAAAGATGATAATAAATTATGACACAACAAAATCTCATTAGGTTGCATGTAATGTTATTATTTAAGTATACGACAACAAAAGTAATATTTGTACCTTGTTCAACATTATTTGATTATTCTGCATGAAAAAAACAAAGTTATAAAACACTTTCCTCTGATCCTTTATAGATATATACGCATTGAAATCTACGTGAGTTATTATTCATGAGTGGGAAAATATTTTTTGACAAGAACTTCTATCAACTTTTACTTTTATATATTATAAAAGTTAGATAAATTAATTAATAAGTATGACCAATAAATTATTACCGTTAGATTGACGGAAATCAAGGGTTAAGATTTAGTAGTAAGAGATAGTAAGAAAAAATAACTTCGGGAAAGGTTATAGTTATTATCTTTTTTCTTACTACCAAATTTTAACCGTTGAAATCTAATGATTACAATTTATTGAAATTTAATAATTAATTAATAAGTGTGACCCAATAAATTATAACCGTTAGATTGACAGAAATTAACGGTTAAGATTTAGTAGTAAGAGATAGTAAGAAAAAATAATAGTAAATATAACCTCTCTCTTATAATAGATAGATAATTGGGATAGATTATTCTACCTACATTTTTTTTTGCCTATTTTTGCCTAACACTTTTAAATATCGTTAGATCAGAATCTCGATAGGAGAGAAAAATGATGAAGGTAATTAAAATTCTGACCTAATGGTATTGGAAAATAATAGGCAAAGCTAGACAAAAAAAAGATAATAGAATAACCTATCCCCATATAGTTTAATGAAAAATATTTAAAAAGTATACAAATGTAAAAATCTGTAAGTATGATAACATGCATGGCGTCAAGAATTTTGGACG